GCTGAGGGCATCATCCAGTCGTACACGCTTCCAGCCTCTCCACAGCAGAATGGGATTGCAGAGCGCCGCATTGGTCTAGTCATGGAGGTTGCTCGCACCTCCATGATCCATGCGGCTGCTCCCCATTTTCTGTGGCCGTTTGCGGTCCGATACGCCGCTGAGCAGCTCAACCTCTGGCCCTGTGTCTCCCACCCGGAGACCTCCCCCGCTTTGCGATGGACGGGCAAGGTTGGTGATGCGTCGGTTTTTCGGGTCTGAGGTTCCCTCTCTCTTGTCCACGACTTGCCTGCGGGCAAGCTCTCTCCACCCACACTTTGGTGCGTGTTCCTTGGCTTTCCCACCGACGTACCGCCCTGACAGTTATACCAGCCGGGCTCTCGTCGTGTGCTGTCCTCCTGCGGCGTCACCTTTGACGAGTCCGTCTGCTTCTACCGTCTTCACCCCTACCGCAGTTCCTTGGTACCCCTCCCGCCTCTCTCCCTGGAGGACGACCCCCCTCGGGTAGCCCCTCTCCCTCCTCCCGGTCCCGCTCCCTCAGGTGTGTCTCAGGTAGAGCCACCCCCCTTGGTTGAGCCTTTGGAGGTCTCCTCAGACACCTCTGGCCCAGCTGAGGGGGGTGACCAGACTGCTATCGACACCGTGGCCCCTCGCCGCTCCGCGCGCTTGGCGGTCCCTCCTGGCTTTCCGCCTCGACCGTCTTCACCGCCTCTGCGACCCGTCGCTGTGGACTCTGGTGCTGCTGGAGGTGGTGACACTGGGGGGTGCGGACTCTGGGGGTGCTGGCTCTGGGGGTGCTGCGAGTCCTATGGGTGCAGGGGGTGCTGGAGGTGCTGCTGCTGGAGGTTCTACGGGTGGAGGTGCTGGTGGTGTTGGTGCTGGTGGTGCTGGTTCACGTTGGCAGGAGACTCTCTCGCCGAAGCGGCTTCGCGAATGGGCTGTCCGTTGGGGCAGTCCTGGTAATGGCGCCGGACGTGCTGGAGCTGCACGTTCCGGAGGTGCTGGCCCTGGAGGTGCTAGTGCTGGTGTTCCTGGATGGCCGTGCTAGAGGTACTGGTACTGGAGGCACAAGTGCTACTGGAGGTACTGGAGGTGCTGGCCTTGTAGGTGCTAGTGCTGTTATTCTTGGAGTTGGAGGTACTGGAGGTGCTGGCACTGGGGGTGCTACTGGAGGGTTTAGGGTTGCAGCCAGCTTCATTACTTCCTTCTATAAGAGTTGCAGCAGCTTCGCCAGGCACTTGTGAGACGTGTGGTCTCTTAGACCAACACTGCATATATTTCCAACAAGGCGTTGCCGCATTGTGACCACCAGCGTTTCTGCAACCAGCTTGGCCTTGTGTCTTCAGGCCCTCACTTGCTTGCGTAGAGATGATTTGTCCCATACTTTTGCATCTCGCTATATTTCCTATATATCTGCTTGTGGCCCCTTATTCTGTAGAGATGCTTGTCATGCATGTCTTGTACTTCTGCATCTCTTATATCTGCTATATCCTTGCATGTGGACTGGCCTTGTGGCCCCTTGCTTGTTCTCGGACTGTGTGGTGATCTTGAGATCCACCTCGAGAGTTGCTTTGTTCTTGTGAACTGGTCGTGTGACCATGCTTATTCTTGTTGACTGGTCCTGTGACCCTTGCTCTTGGGTTGTGTGTTGCTCTAAACAGGACTACTGTCACCTAGACTATGGGGGTGTGTCAAACTATAATTGTTATAGTTTGTCAGTTTAGTCTAGGTGTTACACTGAATTATGCTGTAGAGGGTATAACCCCCTTAGGGTTTGCTATATGCTCCCTTTTTCTGCTTGTTTCTACTCGTTCAGTATTCCCTTCACTCGTTAACAGCTGAGAGTCCTACTGGTGCTAGAGTCGTGAGTTCTCCTACTGGAGACTCTGGGAGTGGACTTCAGCGGCCGCCGAGTCGACAGGAGACTCTCTCGTCGCAGCAGCTTCGTGAGTGGCTGTTTAGTGGGGCAGCCCCAATGGCGGAGCTTGGGGTGCTGGTGCTGGAGTAGCTGGTGCTGGAGGTGATGGTGCTGGAGGTGCTGGTGCTGGAGGTGCTGGTGCTGGGGGTGCTGGTGCTGGAGGTGTTGGTGTTGGAGGTGCTGGTGCGGGAGGTGCTGGTGCTGGAGGTGCTGGTGCTGGAGGTGGTGCACATTGGCAGGAGACTCTCTCGCCTCAGTAGCTTCGCGAGTGGGTTGTCCGGTGGGGCAGCCCCAGTGGCGGAGCTGGAGGTGCTGGTGCTGGGGGTGCTGGTACTGCTGCAGCTGGAGGTGCTGGTGCTGGAGGTGCTAGATCTGAAGGTGCTGGAGACGCTGGTGGTGGAGGTGCTGGAGCTGGAGGTGATGGAGACGCTGGTACTGGAGGTACTAGTGCTGGGGGTACTGCAGCTGCTGTTGCTGGAGGTGCTGGAGGTGCTGGTGCTAGGGGTGCTCGATGTACTAGTGCTGAGGGCGCTGGAGGTGCTAGTACTGTGGGTACTGCGCAGCGGCTACCGTTTTTCTTGTCGCAGCCGCAATCGTCCCTACCACCATCTGGTACAGCACTTCCCCAGGTTCCTAGCCTTCCATCTTCCACTGGCCATATTCCACCTCTATTGTGCCCTCCGTCTGACTAGTCACAGCCGCAGTACAGCCTGTCTCCACGCAGCCTGCTCCTTCCCCTTACACTGAGCAGACATACTCCCTGACTGCGAGTCGAGAGCAGTGCAAAAGCGCTGCTGATCACCAGATCTGATGGCCTTGGTGAAGATATCAGCAGTGTATGCCTGTGAGGCCACGTAAGCAAGGCGAAGCTGACCACGCTGCTGCAGCTCTCATGCGATTAGGTAACGAAGAGCAATGTGCATCGTTATGTGCTCCAGCCTCTGCTCCCGACACAAGGCAATCATGGCCTTGTTGTCGACGTACAGAACTGGGGCAGAACGATGCCGCTCAACCAAGTCAGTCAGCAAGTAAGTCAGCCTGCGTAACTCCTGGGAAGCCATAGCCCCTGCGTAGATCTATGAATCACAGCAGGAACTAAGTACAGAGGCGGGTGGACCTCCACGACCATCGCCAAGGGTGAAAGTGTAACCCTGTGACGATCGCTGGTTCTCCTGGTCTTCAGCCCGAGAAGCGCCAGAGTAACCGGTAAGCACTGCTCGACCCCGTCCTCCAAGCTCCATGCCTCATATACTGCACAATGCTCTACAGTAGCGCAGCACCCACTACGCAGCTGTACAGTGCTCCTTCCAGTATCTCCCGGGCGCAACGTAGCGCGGTTGGGTGCTGAGAGGGTACGCCGAGGTTAGGTCGAGTACACGTCATCAGGTACATGAGGCAGCCCACAAGCACTGGATAAGGTCGACACTACGAACTCGTCCTAAAGTGGAGTTGAGAGCGAGTGGCCTGTAGCCAGAGGAGTGGCCTGTAGCAAGGAGACCGAAAGCGGAAGTGCGTCAGGACCTGCTGCACCATGTGTGATTGAGTGAGAGTGACGGTGCGTGCTGCACTATCCCGGGTAAACTGCAAGCCAAGATAGCTACGCAACTCACCTAGGTCAGTGCAAGTGTGTCTCTTCTGCAACTCCGCCTTCACAAGGGCCAGTGCCTCTGTGCCAGAAGTAGCAAAGACCAAGTCATTGACGTACACGAAGACGTACAATGGCGGCAGAGAAGGGGTGGTGCGCCGAAACAACGACGGGTCTATTGTCGAATGAACAAACTCAAGAGCTGCAAGAGTTGTCCTCAATGTGTCATGCCACTACAAAACCGAGATCGCTCTGCGTAAGAGCGCTAGGTCGGGATGTCGAGCGCATCCGGGTCTCCCTCAGGGGCAAGCAGCATGGCAGAGAGATGAGGTACAGCAGCCTCACAGCACACGAGCTCAACCTGCGTGTGCTCAAGGACATCACGGCCAAGGGCAAGCTCACCCCCGACGGATGGAGGACAGTCAGACTCAGAATCAAAACTCGCAATTAGCGCGGTGTAGTTGTCGACGACCAGCAGAAAGTAGCGCTCCCGGCCTGGACCAGGGACGGGGGATGGGCCCCACACGTCCATGTGCAGGGTCTGCAAAGGGGCAGTGGTCGGAGGGAACGAGGAGGAGTGAGGAGCGGCGCGCTGCCACCGCTCGACGCGGGGAGCGTACGGCGGCGCAAGCGACGGCAGGAGCGGGGGCGTGGATCTCGGAAGACCAGAGACAAGAAGACGTGAGTGCATGCGACGCAGACGCTGCAGGGAGGGGTGACCAAGACGATGGTGCCAGAGGAGGGACAGGTGCGTGAGCACGACCCAGCTACCTGACCGGACGCAACCAACTATGCAAATTCAATGTGCATTGTTTACAGGCCAGACCCAAGCCTCCAAGTGAACGTGGCGAGGTGGTCGCCAGTCACTGAGTCTCTACAAATTGCCACAAACTCGCTCCCAGTAGTGGTGGTAGTGACCAAGTGATCCTGGAAGACAGCTTTACTCACCAAGTTCGTAGCGAATGAGGGGAGGTGAAAACCTGTGAGGGAACCAGAGGGGACTGCCGGACACGGGGGAACAGTGGAACTATGTGCAATGACCAGGCCAGAGGAAGGGGTCAGCCAGAGTGACAAGGACAAGTGTGGTGACTATGGTGCAGTCGCGGGAGAAGCAGCGAGACGCGCCTGGATCCAATGTGAAGGTGAGCAAAGCCTCCGCCAGAACGCGCCTGTGCTAGCATACTCACAAGCACCTAGACTAGCAGCCCCTACACCACAAGGGACGCGTCGTTGGGAAACCCACTCCCGAAGCTGCTGCAGCGAGAGGGTCTTTGGTTGATGCTGTTGCCGCAGCTGTCCTCCCCCAGAACCTCCGCCTCCACCAGTGGCACCACCTGTACAAACAGACGTATAGGTACCTACACTCGCCTCCTCGACCAGCTGTTGCACCTCCCCTAACAACGGACGTCACTGTCGCAGTGGCCGAGTGGCACGAGAGAGGGAGGAGTAGTGTCTAACCACATCGTTGTAATAAGTCTGGGCCAACGTCACATGACAAAAATGGGCCCTCTGGTCGACCAGCAGGTGAGCTCGGACGGCAAGCTAAGCGACAGCGTCGCGCTCCGTCCACTGTGTGCAAGCAACGTGGTCCGCCCGGTACCGCCATTGCATGTCCTCGCCCGTGTCAGCAGCAGGATCAGCGGGATTCGTGGGGGCCTGAAGGGACCCCTACGTGTGCTCGAACAGGGAGACGCCATCTCTAATGAAAGGGCGTCCGTCTGCGTCAACCGCTAAGACAGTGATACTGATCATGACAGTCAGTAGCATTCAGCAGCAGCGATGCAAGGGCAGCAGTAGCGACTGTGGCGGCAGCAGCTGTAACGGCAGCCGCAGGGGTAGCAGTGGTAGGGGCTGCATCTGCAGCGATAGGGGCAGTTGCAGAAGTGGCGGCCGATGCAGCGGTAATGGCACTGGCAGCAGGGTGCTCGAGGTGCGTTGGGCAGCAGGGCACGTGGGGCGCAAGTAAGCAGGGCGTGCGGGGCGCGCAGGGCAGCAGGGTGTGTGGCGCACAGGGCAGGAGGGCGTGCGGGGCACGCAGTTTGCGTGGGGCGCGCGGGGCAGCAGTTTGCGTGGGGCGCGAGGCAACAGGGCGCGCGAGGTGCGAGGAGTTTATTGGGCAGCAGGGCGTGCGGGGCGCGGGGTAGGAGGGCACGCGGGGCACGAGGCAGCAGGGCGCGCAAGGCGCGCAGGGCGGCAGGGCGCGCGGGGCACGAAGCAGCAGGGCGTGCGGGGCGCGCAGGGCAGCAGGACGCGCGGGGCGCGCAGGGAAGCAGGGTGTGTGGGGCAGCAGGGTGCGCGGGGCGCGGGGCAGCAGGGCGCGCGGGGCGCGCAGGACAGCAGGGCGCCCACGGCGCACAGGGCAGCAGGGCACGCGTGACGCGCGGGGCAGCAGGGACGCGTCGCTGCGCGGGGCAGCAGGGCGCACTGGGTGCGTGGGCTGTAGGGCATGCGGGGCGCGGGGCAGCAGGGTGCGCGGGGCGCGCAGGGCAGCAGGGCGTGCGCGGCGCGCAGGGCAGCATGGCGCGCGTGACGCCCGGGGCATCAGGGAAGTGGCACTCGAGGTGCGGGGCAGCGATAACACACCTAACCTAATCGTAGGTTCGGCAGTCGGAGCTAACCTAGCGCACAGACCCTCATATTGGTTTGAGAGTATGCTGATGATCAGCGTGCCCCGGCCAACGAGGTGTCCAAATCAGCGTTCATGGTTTTTTTTTATACTGATTTTTGAGAGTGTGAAAATCCTAAGTATACTGAACCATCAGTGTTAAAAAAACACGAAAGTTGAAACACAAGTGCAAAGCTTTAGGAGTTGCAGAATTGCGATTACCGTCCATCACTATAACAGCACTAGGTCTAATCTACCACCACCTTCTCCCACTCCATGTCGTATTCTAGCAGGCTCAACGCCAACAGATCTCCCAGCTTGGCATTGCAGAGGCTGGTCCGTCGCCACGACTTGATGACATTCTGGCGGGAAAACCCGCGTTCACACTCGACTGTGCTGATTGGCAGAACAGCCACCGCAGCCCACACACGGACTAGGTTGGGGTAGCTGCTCAGCCAGTCGATGGTCTGCAAGACGGCTTTCAAACCGGCATGAACGGCTGCTCCTCCTTGGGAGCAGAGGAGAGAAACGGCAACAACGTGCGCAGTTCCGCATGTGCCGCACGCTTCTGGACACCTGCACTTTACCGACACACAAACACAAACGGGAAGATAGTCAAGCAAGTACACAAGGAGCGGGACATCGTCGTTCATACAAGCAGATCCGGAGATGAGGACTGCTCACCAGGTAAGATAGTGTCTGAGTTCTTGGCCTGATAGAGATGGATAAGGTCGTGCATGTGCTCCTTGCACTCGGCATCTCTCGCCTCGATGCCCCTCGGCCACGAGCGGGGCAATGACGAGCTTCGCCCCGTTCAAGTGCGTCAGATCCCCCAAGCGCAACTCCAAGCTGTACACAAGCTCGCGGGCGAATGAGCGGCAGCACGTATAACATCCTTGTATGTCCCCGCTGCTGGTGGTGTATCCCGGCATGGAGTTTTTGTGCAGATGAAAGCGATGAACCCGGGGCTGACCGTCCCTGTCCACAACTCCATAGTCACTTCACGGCATTCAGGCGAGGCGTGCCGCGCAAGTTGCCGACAGCATCTCGCTGGTCCCACCACCGAACTGCTGGCCACAAGAGGTGTACCTCTGCTCGATGTAGATGATGGTCCGCCTCACTTGGGAATTAACTCCAATGAGGTCAACCTGTTGGGCGGGAGAGAAAGGGTACATGGTACGGGTCTTGAATCGTCACCACTTAGCGCAACACCTCACTTCGCGTCTCTGGAATAGGAGGTTCAGCGCGTTGAGTGCTGTGTGCGCATCTTCCAAGAAATACAGGAAGAAGTGAAACTTGAACGATATCACCAGGCGGTACATCGTGTCGTCTGTCAACACGAGGAGAACGATGACAGCAGGCAGAACCCGGACGAGTAATGCGATATCCTCCCCTCAGCTCAACCAGCAAATGGCATGTATCCCCTGGACCTCTAAGTTTGTCTGCGTGAGTATTTCCTGCAGCTCCTTGAGTTTGAGGTGGGAGTTGTTCGACATGCCAAGATCTTTCGCCACAGAGCGGATGACAGCGTCGATCATGCCAAGCTCTCTGGTAGTGCCCTAGCAGCATCCCTTGCTGCTAGCGCCTCTCTGCCAAGGGGAAAACAGCACAGTCGGTGCGTTAGTGTCAACGCTTACACAAGATGAAACAACAACGATAAATATATGAGCATACCTGCTGTGTTTGACCACCACATGAGAATCTGCAGTCAAAGATGCCCAACGAGGCCAGTGTCGTTGCCAATCATCACCGGAGCCCCATCGGTGCTGATTCTTGCCACATTCTCCAACGGAAGGCTGATAGTGTCCAGAAATCCGTTGAGCACTGCATAAAGTGATGCTGCATCACACTTCTCAATGGATAGGTTGGCTAGAAACTCAGTAACGACGGCATGTTCACAAATAAATGTTACAAAGATTCTCATGTTCTTCCCTCTGGCGTGGTCTGTGCTCTCTTTGAAGCTCAGACCAAAGAACAAACTTGAGTCAATGTACTCTCTCTGGCGTGCACAAAAGGCTGGGTTTTTTTTCGCGAATGAAGGCACAACCGACCCCGCCATGGCTGCCAAGGTTCTCCTACACCCTCTCACCCATTGGGTGATTGACTCGAGAAGCTCCTGGCACATGACTCCTCGTGCGGTTCTACTTGATGAGATTCAGCCCACACCTATCTCTACAGTCACATCCGCGACGGGCGTCAAGGCCAAGGTCATGGGCATGGGGTGCACCAAGTTCATGGGAGCGGATGGAGAGCTCGTGGGGCTGAAGAACGTGTTGTGGGTGCCGGACTTGTGCGCGAACCTGATTTTTACCGGCCCGTTGGGAGATGCGAGTGTGAACACTGAGACGATTGGCTCAAAGCGCTATCATGCTTACAACGACGAGCGCCTCATTTGGGACCTGCAGCGGAAGGGAGATGTCCACAAGCGGATGTGGCAGATCCCGGTTCTCCCTCGGCAGAATAAGGGCAAGGCGGCAGCCGCGGCATATATGGAGGAGAGCGTCATCGAGGGGGAGCAGCAATGTGTGCAAGGAGATGATTGGAGGAAGTGCGGCGGTGAAGGCGTCGGCTACCTCGGGCCAAGCGACATGAGAGACTTGGCATCGGCGGCTCGCACACGTGGTTGTTTCCACATTGGAGGTGATGCACAAGGAGACGTGCGTGCATTGACTGCAACTGCAAGGAGATGGTGCTTGTGTTGGCAGCTGCGAGGCGTGCATGCAAAACAAGTTTGCACGTTTCCCGTTTCCACGTGCGAAGGGATCGGCGAAGGTGCCACTGGAGGTGGTCCACATGGACCTGGTGGGTCCTATGAAAAATGAGGGGACCGGGGTAGTGCTGTACTTCCTCACCATGGTGGACGAATGGAGCTGTTTCACGTGAGGCACGTCCCTTGTCCAAGAAGAGCGACGCTGCAGCGGCGATAAATGAGGATTGGTTGCCGATGGTGGAGCGGCAGTCGATGCAGTTGGTGAAGGTGCTGAGGAGTGACCGAGGTGGAGAGTTCCTTGGAGCAGAATTCACCAAGTTTCTCAAGAGGAACGGCATCAGACACCAGCTGACCTGCCCAGGAACACCGCAGCAGAACAACATTGCTGAGCGTGCCAACCAGACCATTGGCGAGGCGGCTAAGACCTTGTTGAGGGCTGCTGGGATGCCCTACAAGTTCTGGCCTGACACTGTCCGCCACGTGATCACGGTCAAGAACAGGGTCTTGACACATGTTGGCGACAAGCACAAGGTGTCGTATGAGCGCTGGCTTGAAAAGAAGCCATTCGTTGACGTGCTGTGGGTGTGGGCTGCATGGGGCTTGTGATGGTGCGTAAGGAGCAAAGGCACAAGCAGGAAGTTGCTGCTGTATTGGCTATCCATCTTGGGATGGCTCCTGACTCGAAGGGGTGGCTGATGTGGGACCCCAAGAGCAAGAAGACGCTGGTCAGCCGTGACGTCAAGTTTGTGGAGGACGTGATGTACAAGGATTGGCAGCAGCAGCAGCAGCAGCAGCAAGTGCAGGTTGGCTTGCGTCTGGAGGAGCTTGAGCGGTCTGCGGTGGAGGAGGTTCAGCTGCATCTTGATGATCTCCCTGGGTCAGAGCTGACCAGTGACCATAGTGGCGGTGGTGAGCAGCAAGTTTCTGGTCCTGCTGCGGAGGAGGGGTTGAAGGATGAGTCGGCACCTGTGGACTCACCATCTCAGCCCGAGCCTGCTGCAACCGCCAAGGTCACGAAGAGGAGTGTGCAGAGAAGAGCTTCACCACATGGCCAGCAGATTGCAACCCGCGAGTAGAGAGTGGCAGCACCACCTTCAAGGCTGAATTATAGCCGTTTGGAAGTGTTCAAGCAAGTTGCTATGGCGGTTCAGGCGGATGAGGAAATGGCGTTCTGTTTCTTCACAACTCTTTCTGGAGAATCAGCCACATTGGAGGAGGGAGCGGACCTCAGAAGGAGGAGTGGAAGGCTGCCATGGATGCGGAGTTCAACAGTCTCATTGAGAATGAGACTTGGGCGCTTGTTGAGTTTCCCAAGGGGCGATGGTCGATCAGCAGCAAGTGGGTCTTCAAGGTGAAGAGTGGAGCTGATGGTACGTTGGAGCGGTTCAAGAGCCGCTTGGTCGCTAAGGGGTTTCAGCAAAAAGAGAAGGTCGAATTCAAGGAGATCTTCGCTCCCGTTGCTAAGACAGTGACATCAAGGACCTTGCTGGGTGGCGCAGCTGTGAAGGGATGGCATGTGAAGCAGATGGATGTCACCACTGCGTTTCTCAACGAAATACTCCTAAAGGAAATCTACATGGCACAGCCCGACGGCTATGAGGATGGGACGAGTCGGGTGTGCAAGCTCAAGAAGGCTATCTATGGCCTTAAGCAAGCACCCACGTGCTGGTACGAGAACCTGGAGGAGGTGCTGGTGGGCTGAGGCTTCAAGACGTCACAACATGTTCCTGCTTGGAGAGGGGGATCAGCTGCTCTTGCTGTTGATGTATGTCGACGACATGCTGCTGTTCTCCCCTTCCATGGAGCAGATTGAGAGGACACTGAAGCTGCTTTCCACCCGAGTTGGCGCAGTTGATTTGGCAAAATCCGAAGATTTTTCCGGATGACCTACCACCTGGACTAGCACCCGAACGAGTAGAGGACCACAAAATCACCCTCGAGCCCGGCGCGCAACCAGCTGTTCGTAGACAGTGGCGGCTGACTCGACCTGAACTCGTGGAGATTTGAAGCCAAATTGAAGCATTGTTGGAGAAGGGCTTCATCAGACCCAGTACCTCGCCCTTCGCCACGCAGATTTCGTTCACACTGAAAAAGGACGGCGGCATTTGCATGTGCATCGACTATTGCGCACTCAACCGGGCTATAATCAAACCAAGAAGGGCGCGAATAACATCGCGGACGCCCTGACCCGCCCGACAGTCCAATCCGTTGCAATACTGATCACCCACTCGAACCCACTACTTTCGGGGTTATTCACCCATGGCTACAGGACGGGCC